ACGCATCAATAACATGAACACAGGCATTGCTGTTATTAATCTACGACACGGTTCTTTTAATTCTAACATTGTGAAAATCAAATATTTTGGAACAGCGAATCAACGAATGGGATGTCATATTGAGGACGTGTGTCGAGGGATATCATATCGCAGGATGTGTGGATTGTATTATTAATGAAATGACATTTCGTTCAGTAGTCTCCTACATATTCCAAGATGGGACAATCGGTTTGCAATCTGTCCTAAACGTGTCCGACGCATGCTTTATAGTCCATTTCACACGGAGTAACCAGATTGGTACGCAAATGCATCCTTGCCTGGCGGATTGTACAATAAATACATCACTGTGACCTATGGTTTAACCTTTGTCTTATCCGTTGAAAAAAATTGTCTGAGGCATATTTTCTATACTTTTTCACATGGAATCACCAGAACTGGTGTAGCAATATATCCTGGGATCGTGGAGTGTCAATGCAAGTATAAAAAGTAGGTCACATTGACCAATGGTTGACCTTGACTTTTTAAATGTCCCTGCATATGTTCTATACTATTTCACCCTTAGTAACCAGATTTGCTATGCAAGTATATCCTGACTGGTGGAGTACACTGTACAAGAAGTATGTCAGTGTGAATCAGTCCTGAGATAGGTGTACATCTCGGGAAATAAAGAACTCATAACCGTCGGGGACAATGGATTGCCCTGCAATACTTTGCCTTGTTTTGTAATAGAAATTTCGTAAACTTTATTGTTTAATGGAAATTTCGTAAGGATTAAGAATCTGGACAACTTAAGTAACACTTTTATCACACATTTGAATTTCAAATTTTATAATTTTGAAATTTTGCGCAAGATTTAATAGTTGCGAAAAATATTGATCATATCTTATAAAGTTTGATGAAAACTGTACGATCAGGAACCAAGTATTGATTGGTTATTTAACTGAATCATTAGCAGTTCTTTATAACTAGTATAACGTATACGGCATGTTTTGCGCCTGCCAGTGAATTAAGGTGTATGATGAAGTATATGTTATATACGTGATTGATTTATGAGGATATTATCCAATTACATGAGACAAGGACGATGGTCATTTATATGTATATTTATGATGTCACTAAGGCTAGCGCGATGATAAATGCTAAATGTCGATTTCAGGACAATCAATATTGATTAAACATGGGTGGGAGACGATTAGTACTGATATGGCAGTGAGTGTTTACAAGCTCGTGACGGTTTATAATATTAAATAAGTGTTGGTAAAATCCACCGATAAGTACGAGCGGGAAGTATTTGTTAGCCTATACACAATGGAGTGACCACATACTTGAAAATTGTATAGTATCATCAATGATCCCACTTGACCTCGATTGTTCATGTAATTTATTATTTTAGTATATTTTCGAAAACAGCGTGATGATGTGTCAATCGGTATAGTATAATCGTCGGAGCGCACCAACTGGCTTCAGAAGAGGCTACAATGTAATCTTTGGAGACTGTTTATAATTATTTCCACTGTGTGATGAAGTTGTAACCCCGAGTTATTGTCATAGAACGCCATTCTCTTTGAAAAATGTAATTTGTTAATTGGTGTTAACTAACGTTGATTATCTATAAACCATAGATTGGTTAATATATTTAAGGTAACTATATGAACTATTTAACCTATGCCCAATGTAAAGTATATTTCTAAGGGCAGCATCTTGCCTCTTATATGTATTTTGTGCGATAAACAAATCATCTTCTGTACCCAATATACCTTCATTTACACATGCACAACACAGCATGATCACCAGTGTCAGTTTTGTATGTACCGGTCATCAATATTGATCGGAACACCTCAGTTTTTTTCGGCATATAATATTAAACACCTCACTCGGAACATCTCTCTGACACTGTAAGTGATCAGTGGATCTTGGAAAGTGTAGAAATGCATTAATCTACCAGGTGAAACGAAGTACAGAAGATCCCATTTCCCATTCATATCAATATCCAACCCAATGCCTGGGGCTAAACGTATATATATTTACGAGGGCAAATCAAAAAGTTTCTGGCGTAGCACGTTTTTATTTCCCAAAGATGTTAGCCATAGTGAGAATTTTGAACTACTACATTTATTAGTTGCAACTGGCTGGTAACGTTTGGAATCCCTGCGAAGGGTAAAGAGAGAGATGGTTTTGTTCTTAATAGGTGGTATAATTTCTGTAAAATCGAGAAATAAGAGAAGCGATCAGTAATAAATATTTTCTTATGAAAGTCATGCCACCCAAGGAAATTCATGATGACATGAACAATATTCATGGTGATGATTGCCCTTCATATTCAACTGTTCAGAGTTGGACTGGTGAGTGCAAGCGAGGGAGAAGCAGCACCTAAGAAGAATATGTAGGATGAGTTGTCAACAAATATAGATGATTTATTTAATTGTTAATATGCAAAACATGAACAGAAAATGAATGAATATTAGTTGAAAAGTAAATATTTCGCAAACTAAATTGGAGTTATCCCCGTACCCTTTCTATTTGGATTGTTATGACAGAGTATATGTAATGTTTGTAAAAAAGTTCGGAAACAACTACATTTAATAAGAACATAAAGCGTTACAGCATGTTGATTATGTAGCTAACCTGTGTTTACTATGCATAAATTAAACTATTTGGCGAGATTGAATTTCCAAACTCATCAGTGGATGACCGTGTGTTATACAGTGGACTTTTTGGCCTGTATCTGTTGGGTGCGGTAATTTAATCCCATCAAATGTTTTTACATGCAGTTCCATCAACAAAATATTTTTCTTTTCTCTTAAAAGGTTAGAGTTTAAACCATTAGATTCAATTTTAATAAAAATTGGATTTAGTAGTTGTTTCTCTCAATTTGATTATTTTGTTTTGAAAATATCAACTTGTTTATATGTGTTTGTATGTGTTCTAATATCTATGTCTATGCTTGTACCACTGTTTGTTATTGTGTTTGGAGAGGGCTTAAATAGGCTATGCCTGCTGCCAAATCCTTTTGTTTTTTGGCATTAAAATATATTGAAATTGACAATTCATGTTTTGATTGACTTATATTTTTACCATCACATGGACATTTAAAAATATTTATCGCTATATATATATATATATATGTACATGAAACCAGGGCAATTCAATTTTGTGTCTTGTTAGTGTCTGATAACGTTACGTATGTGTCGAATGCATTCTGTTGAATTCGACCCAAATCAATTCTGCGAATTAAGAAAACAAGAACTAGAATTAAAAGGATAGTCTCTTTGATCAATCTTGGTTGGCCATAGAATTCTTTTCGTATGATCTACTATGCCATTTACTCCTTTTTCAAAAATGCGTATAAGAAGAAACATGTTGACAATGTTTTGACCTATCATAGGAGTACATCATTAAGAAAAGCACCAACACTAAATGAAGCCTGTTCGTTTATTCTTTGTTGGTGAACGCACTTTGTCCCAAACCTTTTAGTTCAACCGTATTGCGTGTGAATACGTGTGAGAGTGTGTTCGCGCGCGGACATGGTGTGTATGCCTGCGTGGTCTGTATATGTGTGCTGTAATTATATTAAAAAAAAATAACGAACTCGTACAACATCTAATATCAATTAGAACAAAATCTAAGGCGGTCATTTTGTCCTGTAAGAAACAGGTGATTTTTCGAAAGATATTGATTTTGTGTTTCTAATTTTCAAGAATGCCATAGAAACATCCCATTAACCAACTTTGATTGAAACCACAAAATAGAACAGAGGTTATAGCTCAATATGTTTAAGCAAATCAGAAGCTATTGCAACCATGCTTATATCTGTTTGGAAGGGAAGATATCGAATGCAATTCCAAGCTTGTTTCTCAATACACCTGTACAGTTTAATTAGTTTCTGCACAGTAGCTTTGTGAAATACGTCGGGAAAGTCTGGCAAATCAAAAACGAAAACAAAATAACAAGTCTCTTTATCTCGCATGGGGGACTTAAAAAACACAACCCCAGACTCGTTCCAAATATTTACCAACAATAAAAACGAAACAAAGGCATTATTTTTTGGACTGGTAGTATAGGATATAAAAGCAGGCTATATGAATATTTTGCTTGGAATCTGTAAGCTAACTACATGTATGCAGGAAATGTATACATAAGCCAATACATTTATATACCATAACATCTAGGACTGATAATCAGTTTTGGTAGGTGACAACCAGTATGTCTAACCGGAACAGAAGTTCACCCCCAGGTGTGAAATTGTGTTGTGAACTCAGCAAACTTAGCACGAATGATCAGCCTGTTGGTATATCGTACAGGTGCGCCGCAGCAAACATAGCACGGTTGATCAGCCTGTTGGTATATCGTACAGGTGCACCGCAGCAAACTTTGCACGGTTGATTAGCCTGTTGTTATATCGTACAGGTGCGCCGCAGCAAACTTAGCACGGTTGATCACCCTGTTGGTATAACGTACAGGTGCACCGCAGCAAACTTTGCACGGTTGATCGGCCTGTTGGTATATCGTACAGGTGCACCGAAGCAAACTTTGCACGGTTGATCACCCTGTTTGTATATCGTACAGGTGCGCCGCAGCAAATTTAGCACGATTTATCACCCTGTTGGTATATCGTACAGGTGCGCCGCAGCAAACTTAGCATGGTTGATCACCCTGTTGGTATATCGTACAGGTGCTCCGTAGCAAACTTTGCACAGTTGATCACCCTGTTGATATATCGTACAGGTGCACCGCAGCAAACTTTGCACGGTTGATCAGCCTGTTGGTATATCGTACAGGTGCACCGCAGCAAACTTAGCACGGTTGATCTCCCTTTGGTATATCGTACAGGTGCGCCGCATTAAACTTTTCACGGTTGATCCCCCTGTTGGTATATCGTACAGGTGCGCCGCATTAAACTTTGCACGGTTGATCACCCTGTTGCTAAATCGTTCAGGGGTGATAAATCGTGCCGACCCACTGAATACATAATATATAATTAACATATGTTTAAATCTTACCAGAAGTTTTCTCATCGAAGGAATCTCCTTGGTTTTGGTGTGGGATGTCGGGAGAATTAGGAATACACCTATCCAGAGATGAAGAAGTTAACTGTTCTCATAATTGTTGATGTTGCCAGGATGCTATTTCTACGACAAGCTAGTTCATCACAGCGTTTTCCGAACTATTACGTCATCTCAAATTAGAATTTAACACCGTATTCGATCAGCTAAGAGTTTAGTGTTCTGGAAAGGCATATGTTTAACATACTATCTCCGTACACGCTGCCTTTATTATGACGTGCCTGTTGATATCTGGTTGTTTTATACACACACAGCGTATACGTACTTATGTTTATATGACCAATTGTTTCCGTTTTTCCGATATGACGAAATTGCAAACGAGTTTTCCTACAATTTGTGGAAGCGGACTTGAACGTGGACCTTTGTTTGTGTTGTTGTATTTTGTATTTGATAGTACTATAGGCCTACACTCTCTATACCTGTATGTATTGTACCTTAGTAATAGTATACGTCTCTAGTATAAGTTAGTTAATGTACCTTATGCTGGGCTCCCCTGATCTCTACACTCTACCCCTCCCTTTTAATTTGTACCCCTTATCGTTTACCCATTGTCTGGGGGAAAAGTTCCAGATCGTCTCATAACGTTAACGTTAGTGACGTGTGTCGATGAATAATGCGTCCTAAGGGCAAACAAGGCTAGTATGCAATTACATGTACCTGAGCGCTGGAATACAATGGCTGAAATGACCACACATTTTGTAACGTTTTTGTAAGAGGTCTATCCAGGTTCGCTTAAACGCAAAAAACTCAAAAGTGAACAGATGACAATGTAACGACGTATTGTTTAAAAGTTTATAGTACTGTTTCAAGCTGCGGTCAAACCGTATCCATCATCACATTTAAAGGCAATATATTTTTTTCCCGAACTATTTCGTTACTGGTCCCCAATCCCCGGCGTGTTGTTATAATGCCATAAACACAACAGTTAACAGGTGGCAGTATAACGACGTCTTATGGTACAATTAAAAACAAGGTTGAAAAGTAATTAAAATAGTAACCTAATTTTAACAAACTTTTCTAATAGTAAAACATGACGCGGTTTCTAGTGAACTAAATACAGTATCACAAGTATACGTTGTCTATTAAGTTATAATATTGCTGTTTTTCTGGACTGCGAATTCAGACTAACACACACGAACGAAAATGAAATCGATTGTTTCAAATAATATGGAGTAATATTTTGATGTATAGCACCGTCCCGCGAGTTTCGCTCAATGCGGACATAACAATGTATCATTTGGCATGATCAAAGAGTGCTAACTGGGGGGACGGTAGTCTAGTGGTAGGACACTGGGCTTGTGACCGAAGGGGTTGCGCAACGGGTTCGTGTTACGGCACGGCTCTGTGTTGTATCTTTGAGCAAGATACTTTTACTTATGTACCTGATTCTAGTACCCTGTACCCTGTACCCCGCACCCTGTACCCTGTACCCTGCACCCCGTACCCCGTACCCTGTACCCCGTACCCCGTACCCTGCACCCCGTACCCCGTACCCTGTACCCTGTACCCTGTACCCCGTACCCTGCACCCCGTACCCCGTACCCTGTACCCTGTACCCTGTACCCCGTACCCTGTACCCCGTACCCTGTACCCTGTACCCCGTACCCTGTACCCCGTACCCCGTACCCTGTACCCTGTACCCTGTACCCTGTACCCCGTACCCTGTACCCCGTAAACTGTATTTTTACAGTACAATATATTCGATAGGATATGTATCTTGATACACATATCTGACTTTTAAGTTAGTTTCACAATACATGTAGCTTTACGATGTAAATAATAAATACAGTTCAAATATATATAAAAAAATAGCTGTTGTTCGTTTTTGTATCACTACACAGTGGATAACATCGTTTCTGTTGTTTTAAAAAAGAATCGGTGAACTCACAAATCGAATTTATTTAAACTTTGAATGATAATACCCGAAATGAAAGTGTATTTCCTTATGCAAGCAAACAAATTGTTTTGCTACAATACACAACAAAATCTTGCGAAGCTGAACGATTTAATGAATTGTTTCAGTCTACGCTGTACCCTGTACCCTGTTCCCCGTACCCTGTACCTCGTACCCCGTATCCTGTACCCGGTACCCTGTGCCCTATACCCCGTACCCTGTATCCTGTACCCCGTACCCTGTACCTCGTACCCCGTACACTGTACCCGGTACCCTGTGCCCTATACCCCGTACCCTGTATCCTGTACCCTGTACCCCGTACCCTGTCCCCTGTACCCCGTACCCCGTACCCTGTACCCCGTACCCTGTACCCTGTACCCTGTACCCTGTACCCCGTACCCTGTATTTTCACAGCACAGTACATTCGATACGATTTGTATATTGATACACATATCTGTTTTAAAAGTAAGTTTCACAATACATGTGTTCAAATATCTTACAGAGATGTAATAACTTTACGATGTCAATAGTAATCACAGTTCAAATATATCTTTTTTCGAGCTGTTGTACGTATTTTATATCACTGCACAATGGATAACATTATTTCTGGTCTATAAAATAAGAATAAGTGAACTCACAAATCGAATTTATTCAAGAATTGATTGATACTACCCGAATTGTGAAGATATTTCCCTATGCAGACAAACAAAATAGTTTGCTACAATACACAACAAAGTCTTGAACGATTCAATGAATTGTTTCAGTCTACGCTTTACCCTGTACCCTGTACCCCGTACCCTGTACCCTGGAACCCGTACTCTGTACCCTGTACCCCGTACTCTGCTCCCTGTACCCCGTACCCTGTACCCTGTACACCGTACTCTGTACCCTGTACCCCGTACTCTGCTCCCTGTACCCCGTACCCTGTACCCTGTACCCCGTCCCCTGTACCCTGTACCCCGTACTCTGTACCCTGTACCCCGTACTCTGTACCATTTATCCCGTACCATGTACCCTGTACCCCGTACCCCGTACCCCGTACAGCCACAGCACCATACAATCGACACGATTATAGCGAAAGGGGTGGATTTCCCGAAATATACTTGAGGGACGAGAGATTGCCTTGCGTCAGGTTATTTTTAGCACAGCTGGTTAACGTTTATTAAAGGCCACGTAGTAGCGGTACTTTTTACACGAACGAACTGCAAAGAGTCAATAAAGAGAGGGACGATCTGTTTAAAGTTGAAAAGGTGTTAAAACGTCTCCAGCGAAATGTTATATTTAGCATTATTGTGTAGTATTTGGTCATATTTGGCAGTATTGAGCGCATTCACCGTAATTGAACCTAATCCGTATTTTGTGAGAAAATACAAGAAATACATTATTTATGTTCTAATTGTTGTTTCGCCGTATCGAAGTAGCAAATAGGTAGAAGTACTCAGAAGTATTGAGTGATATTTGGTCGTGTTTGGTCGCATTACAGAAAATATCGGGTAATATGGGGTAGTATTTGGCAGCATTGGATGGTATTGGGTAGTATTGTGTGGTATTCGGTAGTATCGGTTGGTATTGGGTGGTATTGGGTAGTATTGGGTAATATTGGGTAGTATCGGTTGGTATTGAGTTGTATTGGGTGGGATGGGGTAGTATGGGGTAGTATCGGCTGATATTCAGTGGTATTGGGTGGGGTTGGGTCGCATTACAGAAAATATCGGGTAATATGGGGTAGTATTTGGCAGCATTGGATGGTATTGGGTAGTATTGGGTAGTATTGGGTGGTATTCGGTAGTATCGGTTGGTATTGGGTGGTATTGGGTAGTATTGAGTAGTATTGAATGCTATTGGGTAGTATTGGGTAGTATCGGTTGGTATTGGGTGGTATAAGTATTGGGTGGTATTGGGTGGGGTTGGATAGTATGGGGTAGTATCGGTTGGTATTGAGTGGTATTGGGTGGGGTGGGGTAGTATGGGGTAGTATCGGTTGGTACTGAGTGGTATTGGGTGGGGTGGGGTAGTATGGGATAGTATCGGTGGTATTGAGTGGTATTGGTCGGGGTGGGGTAGTATGGGGTAGTTTCGGTTGGTATTCAGTGGTATTGAGTGGGGTTTGGTAGTATTGAGTAGTATCGGTTGATATTGAGTGGTATTGGGTGGGGTTGGGTGGTATTGGGTAGTATCGGTTGTTATTGAGTGGTATTGGGTAGTATATATTGGGTAATATTGGGAAGTATCGGTTGGTATTGAGTTGTATTGGGTGGGATGGGGTAGTATGGGGTAGTATCGGCTGATATTCAGTGGTATTGGGTGGGGTTGGGAAGTATTGGGTAGTATCGGTTGGTATTGAGTGGTATTGGGTGGGGTGGGGTAGTATGGGGTAGTATCGGTTGGTATTGAGTGGTATTGAGTGGGGTTGGGTAGTATTGGGTAGTATCGGTTGTATTGGGTGGGGTTGGATGGTATTTGGTAGTATCGGTTGGTATTGAGTGGTATTGGGTAGTATTGGGTAGTATTTGGTAGTATCGGTTGGTATTGATTGGTATTTGGTAGTATTGGGTGGTATTGGGTGGTATTTGGAAGTATCGGGTAGTATTGGGTGGTATTGGTTGTGGTGGGGTACTATTGGGTAGTATCGGTTGGTATTGAGTGGTATTGGGTAGTATGGAGTGGTATTGGGTAGTATTAGGTGATATTGGGTAGTATCGGTTGGTATTGAGTGGTATTGTGTAGTCTCGGTTGGTATTGAGTGGTAATGAGTGGTATTGAGTGGTATTGGGTAGTATTGGGTAGTATCAGTTGGTATTGGGTGGTATTGGGTGGTATTTGGTAGTATTTGGTAGTATCGGTTGGTATTGGGTGGTATTGGGTAGTATAGGGTAGTATCGGTTGTTATTGAATGGTATTGGGTAGTATTGGGTGGCATTGGGTGGTATTGGGTGGAGTGGGGTAGTATGGGGTAGTATCGGTTGGTATTGAGTGGTATTGAATGGGGTTTGGTAGTATTGGGTAGTATCGGTTGATATTGAGTGGTATTTGGTGGGGTTGGGTGGTATTGGGTAGTATCGGTTGGTATTGAGTGGTATTGGGTAGTATTGGGTAG